CCCTACAATGTTCTTTGAACATGATGGCAGTTCTCTAAGGGTAGTCCCCAAACTAGCAGCTGCTCTTGGGAGTTTGTCATTTCTAACAGTGAAACATATAAGATCAGAAACTCTGGGAGTGGGGCTGGGGTTGAGCCCCATGGTGGAGTGCTTACTTAGTATGCATGAAACAGAGTTTGATCCTCAGCACCACAAGGAAAGAAGGAAGGAAGGAGGGAGGGAGGGAGGGAGGGAGGGAGGGGGAGAGAGAGAGGGAGAGAGGGAGAGAGAGGGAGAGAGAGAGAGAGCCAGCCCTTGGTAACCTAGGCAGCAATCTGTTAAGCAGCTCTCTAAAGTGATTCGGGTGCATACTAGAGTTGGGGAGCCCTGCTTCACATAGCTCCTTGGTTCCTTTCCTTCAGTGTGTGATTCAACATCCTCCTAAAAAGAGAAAATCTCCAGGGCTGGGGAGATGGCTCTGTGGAGAAGACACTTGTACAAACCCGAGGACCTGAGTTCTAATCCCCAGACCCCACGTGAAGCTGAGTGTCTGTAATCACAGTACCCCTATAGTGAGATGGGAGGCAGAGACAGGAGGACACTGCAAAGTTCACAGACCAGCTAGCCAGAGCCCCTGACTCAAACAAGGTAGAATAGGTGATCAACACTGGATATTGTCCTCTGACCTCCACATGTACATTGTAGCATGTCTCACATGTGAACGCACACACACACATTTAAAAAGGGAGGAGTGTTTCCCTGAAATCCCGGAGGAAGCAATCAGAATTCTATAATACTGGGTGTCACAGATTAGCTTGTTTCTTTTCTGTCCTTTCCTCACTCTAGTACATGGCCTCCTGAGGACCCTCAAATGTCCCTGATGCCTGACATGTGACTGTGGCATGCAGGAACCACCTCAGTGCTCAGCAGTGAACTTGGGTCCCCAGGAGAGGACAGGAACTTGCTCAAGGCCACTGGGTATGGGACCTGTCCACTGTCAGCTCTGGTCCTGCTTCGCTGCCCTGACCCCAGCGTAGGCTGCCGTCCCCTCTCAGAAGCGGGGTTCCTTCCCCCGGCCCCCGACCCCACCCTGTGCATTTCCCTTCTCTTTTAAGCTCTGAGTGGTTTAATTTGCAAGCTGCTGTCTTTCATGTCCCAAGCTGCGTCTCTGTTCCCTCTGATCTCCACAGCCGCTCGATCTGCAGCCCCTTGTCTGCCCCGCCCAGCTCAGCCTGGATCAGGAAGCTCAGTAATTGTGACTGATTTTCAAAGCTGCCTGGAGTCTCCATGAGCACCCAGTGTTGGATTCGCTTCTCTTTCAAAAAGTTGTTCAAATGAATAAACTAATTTAATTTCTGCCTCTTTCCGCCCCCTCCTGGGTTCCTCAGCTTGTCCAAAGTGAGTCACCCTCTTTTTCTCCTGAGTGCTATGTGAGACCAGGCTGGGACTCAGGCCAGTGCCTCCCACACTCTGTGGGACCCAGAACAAGCCTTTATCCTTATTCTGTCCTCATGTCCCCCATCTGTGAAGCAAGGGCCCCTGCCTCTCTACCAACCTAGGAGTAGAGCCCTTAGCTAGCTCGAGCACCTACTGGCTATGGGTGCATTTCCTCTGGGCCTCAGTGTTCCCATCTGTTTAATGGGAATGCTGATGACAGTCCTGGCATGCTGGAGTCAGATGAAAGTGAGGTGAGGAGAGTAGAGCTTCCATGGTGGATATGGGCTGCCCCTTTTATGAGCCCCAGCCTTTCTCTGAAGCATGGCAGACAGAGCTTTTGAAATTCCATGCCTGCTATCTGTTTTTTCTCAAGTCCCTTAGATGTGATGCATGTCCTTTCCTAACATCAGCTCTCTTCACCTTTCACATCTTTTCTGTGCAAAAGCATGCGAGCCAGGGAAATGGCTCTGCAGGTAAAAGTGTTTGCTGTGTAAGCCTGACCACCTGCATTCCATCCCTGAATTTCACATAAGAGCAGGGTGGAGTGGTACACATCTGTAATCCCAGCATTGAGATGGGAGGCAGAGACAGGAGAACAACTGAATGCTCATGGACCAGCTAGCCCAGGGTCCCCAGTGCAGTAGCGGAAACAAGAGAGACTCTGCCTCACCATGAGGTGGAAGGATGGGCTGGTGAGATGGCCCAGTGGGTAAAGTCGCTTGTTGTGTAAGCCTGGTGATCTGAGCTAGATCTCCAGAACCCACAGTGGAAGGAAAGAACTGACTCCAGGAAGTTATCCTCTAACCACCACACATACCCTGTGATGTGGGTGCACCTCACTCATACACACATACAATAATAATATTTTGTTAAACAAAATATATATATAGTTAAATCAAAGCCGGCAGTCGGGCGATGTGGCACACGCCTTTAATCCCAGCACTGGTGAGGCAGAGGCAGGTGGATCTCTGTGAGTTCAAGGCCAGCCTGGTCTACATAGTGAGTTCCAGGCCAGCTGGGTCTACAAGGAAACCCTGTCTCAAAAAGACAAAAGAAAAAACAAAAAACAAAGTCTACAAGTCAGTTGTGGGAAAAGGTGGACAAGACCATGTCCTCTTGGGTCAGAGGTTAACTCAAGGTTGGGGGCTGCTGGATTTGGGAAGTCAGGGACTTGGACTGCCTGTGGCCTAACTGTGACATTGGGCATGCCTCTGCTCCCTGACCCCCAGTTTCCCCATTTGCATAACTCATTTCTAAGCTCTTGGTGGCTCTGCTATGTCTTGGGTTTTTGCCACTGACAACCTCCCAGGTATCTTCCCCAACCCAGAGTTCCTGTACAAACTGGTTTATCCAACCAGTTGTTGAAAGACCTCTGCCCTGCTGTCAAATGAGAGTTCCTCCAATTTAACCTGTCAGAAGCCAAGCTCAGGCTTTCCTTCCATTTCCTACAGCTGTTCCTCCAGTGCAGGAAACAGAAATTCCATCAAGTTCATCACTCAGGATGAAATCCCAACTATTGTCCTTGAGTTTTCCCTCTCACACCCTGCATCCAATCTCTTAGCAGACACCTTCAAATCAGCTTTCAAAATACATCGGCCCAGCAACCTCATTTCCACACCCCTGCCGGGGCCACCTTGGGCGATGCTACCACCACTTCTCATCTTGGTAATTGCAATATCCTCCTCCTGAGCAGGCTGCTCCTGTCTTTGCCCTCCCCACACCTGTCCCTTCATGGAACAGCCATGAGATCCTATTAAAACTAAACCAGATCCTGTCATCCTGAAGGGGACCCACCATTGACTGTTTAGCACGTACAGCATAAAGGTTAGGCCCTGGCTATTATCTAGACTGCTGAATGATCTAGTCCCACAGGGGACTTCAACCCTAGGGCCTTTGTACATTCTGTTCCCCATGCTCTTCCCCAAGGCCCATCTCCTTACTTCATTGCTTGACTTGAGACGCCTTACTATACCAGTAATTTATCTGTTTATTAGTATCTGTCTTCTCTAGCCAGAATGCGCTCTTCACGAGATCATGGAATCTTATCTGCCTAGCACATAGTAGGTACTCAACAAAACAAACGAATGAATATATTGCAGCAGGCACGCAGCATGTCACAGGAATGCACAGGTGTCCCTCTGCTAGCATGCACATCCAACACACATATGTACTTGTGTATGTGCACAGCTCACACACACGTTCACATTCTTGCTATTCCCCACTCTCTCACTATCCTTTTGTGCCCCGCCCCATCTCTCTGGTTCACACTTCCCAACCACTACCAGCTGCCAGCTCATTGTTCACCAACGTGTCAGATTTAGTCTGATCTGGAGATGCTGGAGGTGACTGCCCCCACCAGCTACCTATGTGCCCCTAGCTTCTGATGCTCAGCCAGTGAGCTAGAGGCCCTGAGACTGCAGGGGAGTGTGGCCTAGGATGTGTATGGTTTGCTGGTGACTTTGGCTGACATGGTGTAGAAGGGGCTGCAGCCTGTGTCCCATGCACTGTGACTCAGTGTCCACCAGAGCCTCATAGGGGCTTGGGCTAAGTGGACCAGGGCATCCCACTGTGGGTGGGCAGGACTGAGGCATGCTGTGTTTAGTCTGGGCATGCTGTTCTGTGTGATGTGTTCTGAGCTGGGCTGGGTCTCACGTCTACAGGCAGGTGTGTGTTTTGGAACCAATGCTTTCTTTTGTTACTTACATAGCTGGGTGTGTGCAGCATCCCTAAGTGCCCCCACCACACCCAGCATGGAGCAATTGACTCTGTGGGGTCTTCACAGTGTCTGTGTGGGCCTGGGTTCCCAGGTGGCACAGGGCTTCCAAGTTCGGGCTTGATTACTGGTCAAGTGAGCAAAGCTGTTTGGTTGGTGATCCCACATTATATCCAAGTGGAACAGGGACCCAGCAAGGTGACATCTTCTGAGGCTCCCTGTGTCGTCGGTTTGCTCAGTAGCTCACTCTGTTTGAGGGCTGTTTCCCATGTGGGTGGCAGGCGGCTATGTCCAGGTGTGAAGTTGTGTCTGGGTGTGGGACTAGGCCCTGCGTCCGCTGTGTGCTGGCCTGCTTGTTGGTTGTAGACATGCCCTGTTTAGCCTGGATGTGGGCCAACAGCTGTGTAGGAGTTATGGCCAGGGCTGGGCTGTACCTGTATGCAGCAGAACTTTCATGAAGAGTCTCTATGTATATGACCCTGTCGAATGTGGCCGGCATGTGGGGCTGTCTCTGAGTGTGATATGAGCATATGCCCAGTTCAGCTTGTAGCACAGCTGGGCTTGAGTATCCAGCTATATTCAGTTATCTGTGCGTGACTGTATCACTATGTCTTTGTATGTCACTGAGCCACAGGTAGACCCGTGTCCACATGGGGATTGGGTGCATGGACATAGCAGATCTCATGTGTGTGTGTGTGTGTGTATGTTTTGCTCAGCTGTATAGCCAAGACTGTGTTCTGTTGTCTATCCCCCGTTCTCAAGGTAGCCACTCTGTCTCGCTTGCCCCTCCCAGCAGTTCCACTCAGGACCTGCCAGCCTCCCTTGGGGCACCTTCCCTCCCTCTCCCTGGCCTCACCCATCCCCAGCCCACCTGTAGGTGACAGCTCAGCCACACTGCCAATGTAGGGGCCATGTAGGAAGCGTGGCTCACTGTCATTGATGTCCTGCACTTTGATGATGAACTCAGACTCGGGCTCCAACAGGCGGTTGGTGGCACGATCCCGGGCCTGGGCCCGCAGCGTGTAGAAGGTTTTCTGCTCCCGGTCCAGGCGCTCTGTGGCATGGATGTCACCCGTCAGTTCATCTATCAGGAAGATGGTCCCAGCGCCCTCGCCTGAGATGGTGTACTTGATGGTGCCGTCTCCTTCATCGGAATCAGAGTGGATCTGGGGAGGTGGGAGGAAGGCAGGGTGGAGGTTGGTGTGATTGGAGAGGCTGGGGAGGGCAGAGGAGGGCAGGAGAGGCTGAGGGAGGCAGGGGGAGGCTGGGGGAAGCAGAGGATCATCTCCATCACCCACCCCTCTATAGTCCCATGGGGGCCTGCTCTTAAGCCCATCTCTCCTTCAACTCAAGACAGGGAGGCCCAGGAACCACACTTGTAGTAATCTGAGCATCACTGTATCTGGCATGAAGTTTCCACCTGGGGTTCACCTTGCTCCAACTGTACCCCACAATCCACCTTCCAGAGGCCTCCAAAGCTCTCAGCCTTAGAGGCAGTCTAACCATTTCATCCCTGCTTGCAAGATTCCATGGCTCCCTAGTGCCTCTATAAAGAAGTCCAGAGCACTTTCTTTTCTCTCTCTTTCTTCTTTCTTTCGTTCTCTTCCTTCCTTCCTTCCTTCCTTCCTTCCTTCCTTCCTTCCTTCCTTTCTTTCTTTCTTTCTTTCGATGGCTCCAGCTGGCTTGGAACTCACTATGTAGATAATTCCAGGCTGGCCTCAATCACACAGAGTTCTGCCTACCTCTGCCTCCCGAGTGCTGAGACTAAAGGTGTGTGCCACCATACACACTGCCAGATCCCCTTTCTTGCCTCTTCACCATGCAGTTTGCACATTCCTCTAGCTCCTGCTTGGCTGTATGTATGCGTGCAGGTGAATGTGCACACATGTGTATGGAGGGGGACGGTCAGAGGAAACCTCAGGTGACATCCCTCAGAAGCAATCTACCTTTTTTCTTTTTCTCAGACAGACTCTCTCACTGGCCTGAAACTTGCCAGGTAGGCTGGCCACTGAGCCCCAGGAATCTGCCTGCTCCACTTTCCCAAGTGTGTGCCATCATACCTGGCTTTTTTTTAAACTAGGTTTTGGGAATTGAACTCATGTTCTTTCTCCACTGAGCTGTCTCCTATTTCGAACATCCATTCTTATTTCTCTGCCTAGTGAAAATCCACCCACTGTGCAAAGCTTGACTAGAAATCCTTTCTGGATCTCCCTCCATCCCCCTCCAAGATCGCTCAGTACATGAAGCCATCATTATCATGCTCCACCTTGCAGGATCACTGTACCAGTGTTTCTCAGACCTTGGTATGCATGTAAATCACCCGGGTGGCTTGTTAAAATGCAGCTCTGGCTCACTGGTTCTGGGGCGGGGCTTCCAAGTCTGCAAGTGCTGAGCCCTCACTCTGAGCTGTAGGTCTGTCTCCCCTTAGGTTTGGCATGCATAGTACCCACATCTCTCTATATGGGGAGGTTGGCCCAGGACTTGCCACTTGATGAGAGGAGGAAGGGGGATGCGATTGCTGGGGCACCTGCACCCACTCACCAGGCACTGCATAGAACAGGCAGCACATTTGTCTAGATTAGGGCTCTTTAAACAAACCCTGTTCGAGCAAGTTTTACAGATTTTTTTTCCTACTGAGGTCAGACCACTGGGGAGCTGCCTGGTTCCCTGCCCTGAGCTCCTTCCCTGCAACCCCGCCTCCCTACACCACAAAGCCTCTGAAGAGGGGACCAGAGGAAGAGAAGGCAGTCTTGACTCCAGCATCATTCCCCTGTGTGTCTTACATAATTCTCTGTGCCTCTCTGAGCCTGTCACTTCATCTGTAACACACAATCATAATAGCATGTCCTCCCAGAGGAGCCAGGTTGACAGCCCCCTAAGGCCCTCAGCAGCTGCCCAGCATCAGCAACATGAACAATATTCAACAGCCGGCCGCCAGGGTGCTGTCCACGGAGTGGGGCTGCAACAGGCCCTACTGAGCTGGGAGAGATCCCTGCGACTGCTGGGTCACCAAGAGGTGCAAGGGGCTGAAAGCTGGGGGTGGAGAGGTCTATAACGGAAGGTATGGAGGCTGCTCACTCACTATTTTAGCAACCAGTCCAAACATACCTGTTGTCACTAGCTGAAACCCAGCCCTGCCTGAGACTCATTAAGCATCTGACAAACAACAGCCACCATTATTATTTTACTAAGTGTTCACTATGTATACCTGGAATCTCCTTCTGGCACCGCTAAGTGCCAGACCCCAGGCTATTTCCACTGTACTGACATCTCTTGGGGGAGGAACCAGCAAGAATCTGTTTTCTTGAAAACAGAAACACCTAAGACTTCGCCCTCCAATGCCCAAATCTCCGAACAGCCCTAAGGAGAGGAAAACCTGTCTGGATGATGCCAGTGTCTCTGGGCAACCACTGCTCCTCCATAAGCCTCCGTGGAGATGAAGTATGAAGCAAACAATCCCTAAAGTGCCTTTGGAGCCTGACTGCCATGGACTGTAGCCCTCTCATCCGAAGAACAGGTGTCAGAGACCTCATCATGAAGTGGGAGGACAGCCCAGCCCTGCTGTGGGAGGAGCCGGGTGTAAATTCTTCGGGTAGAACTTTGTGTCTGAAAGGTGGATCATAGAAGTGCCATTTGGAAGATTGAATGGCCCATAAACATTTTCATATTTCATTAGCCGATTAATGGGCATCTCTCTCTTTTTGGCGAGTCTGCTGATTCTCAGCAGAAATTGCAGGGAGTAAATGGAGGCGCCTGGTGGAACCTTTCCGGGTCCCCGTCCTGTTATAGATTGCCCCAATTAATGCCCGTCCTGGGCTCCGCTGAGAAGCCTTCTTCCTGTCCGGTTACTGTTAATAGATTTCTCATAAGTGGCTGGATTGTAAAAACCTCATAACTCAGTTTAATGCCCTCAATAAAATTATCTCAGGACGTCAGCCCTGAATCATTGGCAGTGCTGGGGATGAGGGGACCTGTCTCTCCTGTTTGCTGTTTGTATTCTTCATCCACCTTTCCCTAGGGAGATGCAGCAGGACAGGGGGGATCTGGTCATTCTTGGGGTGCCTCTGCACATCTCCCAATCTGATCTGCCACTTGCTTGTTCAATCAACAAACACTTGGAAGCAGGTGGTAGGGGATGCAATTATGGGGGAATTTAGCAGCGATCTTGGTGTCTATCACTGCCTAAAGAAAACAACTGCAGGTCTCAGATGCGGACATTCACACACAGAGACAGGAAGTCATTTGCTCTGTCCACAGCTAAGTGAACCTCATGGCTCCATTGGCTAACACTGTGTCCATGGACGAGTTCATTTTGCCCTTCTGAGTCCTGTTTCCCCACCTGAGGAGTCCAAGCCTTCCTACCTGGTGTGGGTGAGGATGAAATGAACACATGTTGGCAATGAAGTAGTGCCCAGTTCATGGTGGCCTCCTTCCCTTTCTTAGACCTTTGTGAGGTATAAAGTCTCTACAGCCCTTGGCATTTGGTTTTCCTTCCTTCCCTCCCTCCCTCCCTCTTTCCTTTCCTTCCTTTCCTTCTGTTTTTTGTTTGTTGCTTTTTGAGACATGGTCTCTTGTAGCCCAGGCTGGCCTTGAACTCACTGTGTAGCTGAGGCTGACATTGAACTCCTGATTCTCCTGCCTCCAGACCTTCACCATGCCCTGCACTATCATGCCCAGCACCCTGACATTTTCGTATGGACCTGGTGTAAGGATCACTCTCAATGATTTGGGGAGGAAGGAGTGGAACGCAGCTATGATGTCATCAGTGTTCTGTGAAATGTGACATAGAGTTCACACAGGGGCCCAGCAGCTATTCTCTGGGGACTACAGAGTCAGACAGGGTCAATCAGCCTAGGGAGGGAGGAGCTCAAAGCTCAGAGCTATAGACTTGGGCTGTGCTGCATCCTGTGCTCTGAGTGGACAAAGAGCACCTGGCTCAGCTCTAGGATATGGTTCTTAAGGCAGTTGTGCATGGTGTGTGTGTGGGGGGTGGTTGCGTGCTTTCATTTACTGAGCACCTACTATGTTTTACCTGCTGGAGGTTCCCTGCCAAAATTGAACTTGACTTTGCAGAGTGTTTGGAAATCTCTGCATGATCCAGGTGAAGAGACTGAGATGGCCTTGGGTCCTGCTGCAGCTTTAAGGAAGCTGGTCAGTCAGCTCACAAGGCCCCTAGCAGAGGATGGGAGGGAGAAGAAGGAAGGGAGCCACTGGCCCGCCCCTGGGGTGGCCTCTTCTCCCTGCCTCTTGATTTCATCATTTGTGGAAAGACCTCGAATCACAAATCAGGAAGGATTATGGGTCTGAAGTCGGGAACAGCTCTGTGCCAGCTTCGGCGTTGCCCCTGGCCTGACACTGACTGGCCTGGGCAAGTTGAAGCTCTTCCCTGAGCCTCAGTTTTCTCTGTAAAGGGCACTGCCATTGCTCACCCATAGATCCTGCAGACTTCTAATATAGGTTCCCAGCATGTAGTAGGTGCTTACTGTGGATAGGCCTCCCTTTCCTGTCTCTGGACTCAGGAGGTATGAAGAGTCATCTAACTTACCCTCCTCACCTCCTGATACACGGACTGACCATAGACTCAAGCATCCACTCATCCAAGACCTAGAGGTCCCAGCCAGCACCTTCTCATTTCAAAGCCTCACTTTATTCTTCCTTCTAAAAGCCCTGTCAGATGCTGTCTATATGGAGGAAGAGCCCTCCTTGTTCTTGCCTCTCATACCACACTCTCCTCTGCCGCTCAGTGTTGGGCACAGGTATATCTGGCAAGTAGGGCTTCAGGGCATGGAGCAGGGTTCATTTGCTAGGTCTGAGCTCCCCAGGTTGGCCACACACTAGCACCCTAATGGTGCCTACAGAGAAAACACAGGGCTGTGGGAGAGCTGAGTGTGCATGTGTGTGAGTGTATGTGCATGTGTATGGGCACAAAGCTTGAGATTGAAAGCTCTTTGAGAGCAGAGCAGACGGTCCATTCTCATCTCCCAAACACCCAGCACAGGGCCCAACACCAAACACATCAAATATGTGATTAATAACATACACAGCTGTCACTAGTGTTCCTCAGCTATCTGCCTGGATGTCTGCAGGACCCAAGTACCCCTCAGCCCCAGGGCATATGATCTAGATGATGGCGATAGCTATGGCACGTATGATGCTCGAGGCACAG